AAATTCTGCCTCTACGAGGAGATACAGCTATTTTTCTATTACTATAGGGGTTGCCACATTCAAGCCTACCGTACTCTCCACTTTGGCCAGTAACATATCATTTTCTTCACACCAGTCGATCCAGCAGAATCTCTGCATTCAGAACTACTCGACTTATCTTCAGCAATAAAGAGAGCTATGCTAGTTTTCCATCAGTAATGAAGAGAAATTGATGTGCTACTGAGCAAACCTAAGAGTACGGTAGGCTCGAAGATGGCAACACATAAAACAATGAGAAAATAGGTATGTCTCCTTACCTAATCATATCTGTTCGGCAATATGTTCAGTTCGATGGTAGTTGTGAAGAGACGAGTTCTACATTGAGTTACTGGGTGATGGGATTATGTTGCTCTGAGAGGAAGAGGGACATCCCCGAGAGGGGCACCTTCCCTGAAGATAGCTGCGGCATCAGCTGCGTCAGAGGCGGCTTCTTTAAACTGAATGACGAGTTTGTCCTCCTTTGGCGGTCCTGCCGTTCGAGTGATTTCGATAGAAGAGCTACCCACTGCGTCCACAAATCCATAAACTGGCTTTAGACGATATGTATTGTTGTTTGTTGACTTCACCTTGAATGCCAGTCGAACTCCGCTCGGGTTTCTCAGCAGGTGCGTTGATAAGTCACCTCCTACCGGAACATTCGCCTCTGGTGGATCGGCTGATAGCGAAGTGGACCTGCCGGGGCTACAGCACCGGCGTCTGCAAGGGTTGGTGCAACTCTCTCGGCTGGTGGTGGAGCAGCTCCTTCGGCTGGTGCTACTGGACGAGCATCTGCTGGAGGAGCGTCACCCATTATCACAGGTCGTTCTAAAATTTCTTTCTCTTTAATAATGTCGTCCTAACACCAATCAATTAAGCTAATACTTCATTGTAACACTGATTAGTTGAACATACTTCTAGTTATTAACAAATTGTCATGCTATTAACGAGACAAATTGCTGGCATCTATCAGATATTCACAAACGATAATAAAATCTCTCATTTATGAAAACGAAATAGACAAAAGATTGCCAAATCACTCAGAGGCGTTAGCAACTGATGAAGATGTTAGAGTGCTATTCATGCTAATTGGAGCATCTAATGTGCAACAATGAGAGACATTAGGTT